TGATTGTTACAAGCGAAAAATGTTAAATCAACAAAGCCAGGAAGCCAGAAATCTGCTAAATACGCTACACGTGCCCAAATAAGCTATAAATTTGGTGTAAAAAGGAAAAGATAAAAAATCGAATAAATAATAGCAAGTCGATATCAATGAGAAGCCACACCAAATCATACACAGCATGGGCGAACAACAGACTTTCTTTTAATGTCTCCACGCTGTCTGATGTAAGGCTTATTGAAACAAAAAAAAAACCTAAAAGATGCTGCACTGGCATTTTGAAAGTGGCCGCGGGCAAGACTCCAGTTTTTTTTTTAAGTATCCTTGGTTTGAGATAAATTTTTTTATAAGAATGTATTTAAAAAGCGAAATTCAATAGTAAAATGGAGAGTAAATATGTACTGTCGGTAAATAAATGTAATCATGAGCAGTTACGCTCACCAGTGCACTTACTAAAGATCCCTGTAAGTAAAATCAGAACTAGCGAATCAACATTGCGGGAAATGTATCTAAATATAAGTTAACTTGAAGTTGATTAGGAAAGAACTATAGGTCACTATTATCTGTAAATTTTCTTAGAGGAAAGCTAACTATATTTCTGTGGCTGCAGCATTGATCCGGATCAACTCGTTAATTCGGAATTATCTCGTGAATCAACTACAGTTTATTCAGATTAAGTCCTAGAGTTAATTCCCTAACTTAACTCGGATCAAGGGAATAGTCGATGGCAACACTGACCAAAACTCAGAGAGCGTAGAGTACAGAGTAAGTGCAAAACTAGCATGGACATATACCTTTTAATCGGTACTGTAGTCACCATACTAATTCAGATAGGAATCCAATTAAAATTGAATAAGAACTTAATTGAATTAATGCGATGACTGCATTACCGACTACAAGGTGGTAGCCGACCACTTCATCCGCGGTAGCCGAGTGGAAAGGGCTGCGGACTACAACCAGGAGGCCCCAGGATCGATCTTCGGTTGGAGCGATTGCCAAAAAAAAAATAATTTTATTTGATTTATAAATTTAATTGTGCTATATTTTATTTTCGTTTGTTTTATTTTATTTCACATTTTTTTATTATAATTTAATTTCAATGAATATTCTACTGGCCGCGGGATTCGAACCTACGACCTCGCGGCTCGTAAATCCGCATTACTGTCGTCTGTCAAGGCACAATTCTGATCAGATCAATTGCGGCCTTCATCCGGATCAACGTTGCCGTCGTTTTATTTAGATATAAAATATCAATAAGAAAAACAAATTATAATTTTTTTTTTGCTTTTTTATTTATTTACTTTATTTTATTATATTTCATATTTGTTTACATATTCTGCTGTTGGTGGTTCCATATTCGAACTCCGTCAGATATAACTTCAAAATGGTAATATACAAATTTCTATCTTCCTACTATTTGTCCTCAAAAAAAAAGTGTATTCGAAGTAAAATTTTTATAAGGAATTTTATAGGAATCCCTCAAAAAACCTAACCACAAGTTGGTTGTTTATTTATCAATTGATAATTTTTTTCTGCACGGTAGAAATTTTCCCTACAGGTATAAAGTACGTACTCATACACATAAAAATGAGTAAGTGGTCGCTTGTGTATTTATTTTGTAAAAATCTTAAATGTCCCCCCATGCCAATCGCTTGTGGCGCGTGCTAGATGACCATTTAACTCGCACATACATACATACTTGTACATTTATAGGCACACCACGTTTTGGGGGAGTAGAGCTTTCATTTATATTATTTACAACGAACAATGCTGGCCGCCGTTACAATTAGTATTGCAAGAAGTGCAGATTTATCGTCAAAACGAAGATATTTGTCATAAATAAGTAGAAAAATCTTCACATCAAGATAATTGCAACAAAATAAAACGCGATACAAAACTTGTTGACAGTGAAAATATTTGGCAGCACTTGAAGATTTTTTATTTTTTTTTGGATAGTTGGCAACAAACTTTTCATTTTCAGCTGGAACATTGAACTGTGTGGTTTTTGGCAGTCGGCACTGGTACGTGGAAAAAATCCTTCGTTTTTGTCATCTGTTCGAAATTTTTCTATAGAAATATATAGGAAAATTTCATGATTTTCGATTCGATTTCGAAATTTTTTGGTATAGAAAATTATAGGAAAATTTCATGATTTTCGATTCGTACGAAACAAGATTTTGCCTGTCAAAATTCGCGCTCAAACTCCGCGTTGTGAATTTCCACAAGTTATGGAGTGATATTTTTTAAAACCAAAAGTTAAATTATCAAAATCATCATCCGATAGCGAGGATAAATGCACAGATACGGAGAGAGTTTTTTCGGTACGGTATGAGTGCCATGATATATGTACTTTGATTTAGATGAGCACAGAAATTTATTAAAATATTTTAGAATTATAGTTTACAAGACTTAACTTAAAACGTATACATTATTATATATGTCGTACCTGTATGCTTTTACTGATCTCAGCACCTTTTTTTGTTAATTCGCATGTTTGAATAATATGTAGTTAGTTATAAAAATATAAGTGAAAATACCTCTGTGTTTTGTGAACTAGTCANAGATTTTGCCTGTCAAAATTCGCGCTCAAACGCCGCGTTATGAATTTCCACAAGATAAAAGTTATGGAGTAAAATTTGTTAAAACAAAAAGGTAAATTATCAAAATCATCATCTGATAGCAAGGATAAAAGCACAGGACCAGAGAGAGTTTTTTTTCCGTACGGTATGAGTGCCATGATATATGTACTTTGATTTAGATGAGCACAGAAATTTATTAAAATATTTTAGAATTATAATTTACAAGACTTAACTTAAAACGTATACATTATTATATATGTCGTACCTGTATGCTTTTTCTGATCTCAGCACCTTTTTTTGTTAATTCGCATGTTTGAATAATATGTAGTTATAAAAATATAAGTGAAAATACCTCTGTGTTTTGTGAACTAGTCAAGTAAAACTCTTATGAATTCATGCCTATTTTTTTTTTTTATAAAATGTGTTATGGTTTTATATATTAAATAAAATTATAATACAGAAATTGAAGTTTTTTTGTTACGAAATCTTTAATAAAAATATTTCTAGAGAAAAACGGTTTTTTCCAGTTTCAGTAACCTTTTTAAGGGGTTTTGAAGATTTAATCATCACTTGGGCGATTTTTAACAACAATTTTCCGGCAACACTGGTTACAGCGCTATTGGACTTACTGATTCACGGCAATGTTGTCCCGGCTTTTAAATTGCTGGCGAGGTGTTTAAATTTTCATTTCCTTTGTAGTTATGGCAGCTGTATGTTACATGTGCTTGCACGTAGTGCATATTTCAAGTGTGCAATTCTACTTTTNTTTTAATACAACAATTTAAGTTATTTTGTTATGAAATCTTCAATGAAGATATTTCTAGAGGAAAACGATTATTTGTTTTTCCAGTTTCAGTAACCCTTTTATGGGGTTTTGAAGATTTAATCATCACTTGGGCGATTTTTAACAACAATTTTCCGGCAACACTGGTTACAACGCTATTGGACTTACTGATTCACGGCAATGTTGTCCCGGCTTTTAAATTGCTGGCGAGGTGCTTAAATTTTCATTTCCTTTGTAGTTATGGCAGCTGTATGTTACATGTGCTTGCACGTAGTGCATATTTCAAGTGTGCAATTCTACTTTTGAATACCGGTATTATGACGCTCGTGAAAGTGGACACGCAAGCTGATGCAGATGTTAACACATATATGTGTTTGTATGTACGTATCTACCCTGCAGGAAATGGGACTAGTTTGTAGCTAACTATTAACTAACTAGCAGTCGACTAGTGGTAACTATTAACTATTAACTATTTCCTTTGGCCGTAACTAACTACTTTTCAAGGGCGATGGCCGCAAAATAGAGAGAACTGGCTTCTGCATTAGACGTCAACTAACTTGTAGCTAACTACTTTTGGACATAAACTATCAATAAAACAAAGTTTTTAAATTTTTTATATTTTCATTTAGTTACTCATTTTATTTAACACTACATATTTGCTTATTTGTTTACATGTTCTTTTGTGCGTGGTCTCATATTTGAATTCGATTAGACATAACATCAGAATGATAATATATAATTTCGACCTTTATTTTATTTGTCCTGAATACGAAAAAGAATCTAGGGCAATGCAAAGGTAACATTTTCGTTAAAAAGAAATCGCGATTAAAACATACATACATAGTATATGACATAGAGACTATGGTTTATGAGAGTCATTTTAATACTTTCTATGAACAGAAAATTGGGTTATAGAAGAGTCGAACTATCCATGCAACATCGCAAACAAGTCACTCAGTTTTAGAGATATCCACTGGAATTTGGTTCGGTTGCTTCTTTAAACTGATGTTCTCATATGAGATTTTGCTTTAAAGCTCCTTAACTTAAGCAGGCAGCCAACATGAAATTTCGCGGTTTTTTCACTTAATGTGAGGTATTCAGTTCAGGTAGGTTCTGCAATTCAATTCCAAGTGAATTTCTAACTCGCTTTGAATTCAAATGCGCAGGGGTTGAAATGCACCCGGAAGTGCAGAACCTGCCTGATTGTTCTCATATCTTACACCCTTTTCAAAAGAGGGTCAACTCGAACATCATTACGATATGTACTATTTGCTTTGCCGTCATTTAATTGCTCATTTTTTGCCGGTTAATGCATAGTTTTGGCTTAACAGATAAAAAACAAATCCCACTCCATTCAAGTACATATGTATTTCTTAAATCATTGGTTTTTCATTTTCACCTATTCGCTTATGTAAATAGTCCAACTGTCGTTGCAAGATATGCTCGTTTTTTAATTATTCTATACCACTAATAAAATTAAATTTTCTTTTTTTTTTTTTTGGTTTCAAATTTGGTCCGTACTTTCAGATTATCCACGATATCCTTCGATTTGCCTTCTTCCAAGAAGAAATTTTTCGAGTGAAGACGTCTCAAACTACAATATGACTAGACTTGTTGCAAATCAACCACAATTTAGGTTTTCATTCATATTATTTTCATTCATATTATTTTCATTTAATATTTTAATTAAGGTTTTTCTATAGCTCTTAATCTCTACATTTCGCATGTCGGCATTTACTGCATCGTTAAATACATATGTACACATTTTTTAGTTATTTAAGGCCCAATGCAACTAATGCTCCTCCTCCAGTCACCTACAATGTGATTGCTCTCGCTATGGTAAACAACAACAATAATTACATTAAGCTGTAAACCTCTTTAGCCAAAAACAATTATATAACAGAAATATTATTTTCCTTATCTATGTATATTTTGGGCAAATTAAAAAAAAAAAATACAAATACTTTGAATATATGAGCAAACTATTAAGCAAAATACATAAAAAAAAGAGAAATCAACAAAATAAGTACATTTTCAATACTAAGCTAGCTTATTAGTACATACTTTTATGTTCGTTCACGTTTACTTGTACTTTTATCCCATTTACGGTAAATGTTCTCAGTTTTTGATCATTCTCATATTTATGTATTGTTATTGTACTTATATACATGTATTATTTTAATCATATTAAAAAATAGCTTACGAAAAAGCCTCTTATGTCTTACGTAATAAAACACAATTATAAATTACATAGATTCTAAGCATATTTCTTTATTCATAATTTCAACATTTCAAACAAGTGGACAAGGATATGGTTGGTTATTGCGGCAGCAGTACTCTTTTCCAGCCGCTAAATTTGTATTGAACCACTGATTTCGACAGTTCTTGATGAAGAGATAGGCGCGCTCTTTTCGGCAGTCACGATTCAGGGTTGCGCACAATATATTAGCCGAATTGGGCAAATGCTGCACTATCTACTGGAAGAATAGGTGTCTCATATAGGTCACATTAAATTTTATGCATACTTACAGATTCAAGGCACTTGGTTTGACATTGTTTCTGACCTACGGCATTACAAGGAAAGGTGCGGTCTAACTCGTTGGTTATCACTGGTGCACCCTCTGGTTGTTCTTTTGAGTTCCGCTTAATTTGTGATGTAAGGAAGACGCCGCAAGTACATGGCACGGGGCGGCCACTTTCGGTTGTTGTTGATGTAGTCCTCTTACTGGATTTCGTTGGCGAGCTGCGAGTGCCTTGTAAACGGGGTGCAATTAGTAACTCTGGTGTTGGCATTGGGAAGAGTTCTTCAATTTCGTCATTTGCCTCTACATGAGTGACAACATGGGTGCTGCTGTGTGCTTCAGCATCATCGGCGAAATCGCATAGGCCTTGCTGCTTGCATAATTGCTGCTGTGCTTCCAATGTGTTATTCACGACTGGCTCTACATGGGGCAATAAATCTACATCTGCTGCTGATGAACCCATTCTGTTTATCACCATATAAGGCAAATGTGCTTCAGTTTCGTCCTCCAGTCGTTTATCCATAAAAGCCGGTTCTGTATCGTGTACTCTAATGGACGCCTCTTTGCCAATACTGTCAATGCTTCTGTCTATAATTGTCTCGTGTGCGATCAAATCAATCTCTGTTGGTATTGGCGTTGTTGTTTCTTCCATTGTGGGTTCTGTGGGCGCTGGGGCCTGTGCCATTGTGGGAATGGTGCTAGTGGTGGTCGTGGTGCTGGTAGCGGAGCTTGTGTTGGTACTTGTCCCGGCGGCTGCAAAGATGGGCACTTTCCTGCTAAAGTCCGGCTTTAACTTGTAGCGCCTATCCTTAAACAGATTTGCTTTGCCAAAGATCGGTTTCTTGTATGCAATTTTCATAGTGCCTGCTTCCACATCCTGACTTAAACTGGAAATCGCGAATGCTAGTGCTAATAAACTTAGTGTTGTCACACCTAGGCTCCTTAAAAATACTGCAATTGTTAAAAAAGGATTTAGTAATTAGTTGCAATTATAATAAAAGTGTTATGCTTACCCATTACGCTGTTTGCACCTCTTTGCTCCCAGTGTTTCAAAATTATGCTCATCCCATAGTGTACTCCGCTGTTTAAATATCTTGTATGTCTTTGGTTTAATTTGTAATAGCAGTATTTTGTATTCGGTTGTACTAAGCATATTTTTTCCAGTAGTTTACATTTTTCTGTCGAGTCTGCAAGGTTGTCTTACGCGTTTTCTATGGAATATTTGGTCGGTGACTTCGGCCAAGAAGTTCAAGTGTAGTAGTTGTTCTGAAACTGGGTCAAGTTTTAAACGAAAATAGTTTTTTTTTTGTTAATATGCATAATGGGAAAGTTTTTAAAGAGTGGCTTAAAGCGGATTATAAGTCTCAAGTAAAGAAGTTTATATGTATTCCATTGGCAATGGCTCAGTTTCAAGGGTATTAGAACCCAGTTCAAAGACACTTAGAAAAAATATACACGGTTTTGTACTTTAACCGACGATATGTACATATTAGAGGGTGCATGAATTCATTCATATACAAAACGAATGAATGATTTTGGCTTCACATT